TCACTGAACCAATGGTCTTGCCCTTTATGGTAGGTCTTTCCCACATCATTACAAAAACAGATTCACAACTTAACACCAGCTGGTCCAGTACACAGCTACCTTAGGGTTCTGTTCTGTGTTCTCATTCTCCCATGCTTCCTGGAAGATTTCAGTACACTAGGTGTTGTCTCTGTCTTCGGTGAAACATCATGGAGCAAAGGTTAGTGTTGGGAAGCTTAGCTGAGCGGGAAAGGTGGAAGAGATATGGAGAGGGGGTTAAATTTATTGGAAAGGGGAGATCGGGAGTATGAGTATGCTGGGGTGGCAAGGTCTTTTTTTTACTTCTCTTAGGAGAGTCAGGGGCTCTGTTATTGGTGCTGAGATGAGAATAGAGAAAGTCCTCAAAACATAAAGACCTGAAGCTTGTGTGCCTGATATAGATCTTCCAGAATTTCTCCTATAGCACATTTTTTCCACTCCAACAATATGGAAGAAAACAAGCTCAGGATAATGAGGTCCAGTTAATTCAGCTGTGGCACACATCCACAATTCCTTTCCTGTTGCAAATGCAAGTCTGTGTGTGCTTATTCCATTATTTAAAAATGCCAGTACTTGTACATCAGTGAAGAGAAGTAAAGACTAACTATTGCTTGCCTTACTCCCATGAGTAATCCCACTGAAGCCAGTTGGATGTACTCATTTGGCCCTAAAGAAGGGAATCAGAGAGAGAAAGAGAAAGAGAGAAAGAGAGCACACCTCTGGAATTCATTTCTTATTTACATAGGGAAATCAATCCAGAAAGTTTGCACTGAAATCCAGGTGTTCTGTAACACTGAAATGTGATTTTCTGTTGAAAAGAATGTATGTTTATATGCATAAATACATATGGAGAGGCAGTGGCAAACAATTATTTCCTAAAGTATAAATCAGCTTCTTCTAAAGCAGGGATTTGAGGAGACCTTTGATAAAAGTGTGTGATTTCTTCATTACAAAAGATGAGTCAAGGAAAGAATGTGCCGCTAATCCAGATGATAGACCTACAGGCAGGCTCTCAAAGACATGTTAGTACAACTGCCTGGGAAGTTACCAAATGGATGCCATCTCTTGAATCTCTTTCACAGCTTCACATCTGCCTTCAGCAATCACCATGGAAATAAGAGGAGGAAAGTGCTTCTGGGGGTGCGGTGTATACCTTGTTTTCTGTACACTGCACCTTTATTTTTTTTTTAAAAGAGCAGCCATTTTGTTTTCTGAGGTACTGCAGCCTGTGACAGAGGAGACCCTCCCCATGCAGCATTCTCACACAGAGACTTCAGAGAAAGCCTCTTAAAGAGGCCCAGGGCGAAGTGGCAGTAAAGGTGGTTCACAGCAGAGCTTTTAGAGCCTCTTATGCTGCTCCTGCCCCCTTTCCTTGAGTAAAGAGACCAGAGTGGGTCTCAGAATCTCACCCTTTGCTTTTGTTGTTACACCCTTTTCCATAATAGAAACGCCCAACTTTATTGTCATATTTTGCTTTTTCTGTATGGAAACTTATTACCTGGGGGTGGGGAGCGTTTTTGGAACAACATTTATATTTCTCTGTACAAAGCATTTTTTCCATTGAGAAACTGCCCTTCTTACAATACAACAGTAGTCAGTTGCAATAGTGATAATCACCATTGCAAGATGCAGCTCCAAACGTCCACGGCAGGCATATTGCTGTGAACTTCGAAAGCAACACCGTATGGTAGCATGATACTTGTACATGACAAAAGATTGGTGGGAAACACTGCTGTGAAAAACGTGGTATGTAAGTTATCATGGTTGAACTTGATCAAATAGCAGTAGTTTCTGTTTACAGACACCACAAGCTGAACAGATTGCATGGCCAATTGGCCTTCCCTGGTCAAAAAAAGCCCTGGTTAGTCACAGGCTAGTCACAATAAGAAAGAAGTTGAGAAGTGGACAGCAAGTAAACAGCTGGATCTTGCTCTATGACTTCAAGGATTAAAGTACCTTCCAAACCACATGATGGAACAAGGAAAGACAAAAACAAGTGCATGATCCAAGAGACCCATTGCATGGACACATTCCACCACCCAGCAGGCTGAAATCCAAAACCAGCTTTGTCTCTGAAAACTCCTTACCCCAAAATAGCATTGTGGAAGGCTACAGAGTAACAAAATGGAGAACTTGGTTCCTTCAGAACAACTCCCTTCAGGCACTGACCTCGAATGAAAACACTGATGTACTCTAAATTGAGTGAGAGCTAAAAAGTCTGGTGACAATATGGGGTCATTCCTCAGCTTCCACTTGGTCAAATGTGGATGTGGAGAGCCTAGGCAAACACTTGAACATACCCAGGGCCGGCTCCAGGCACCAGGCACCCAAGCACATGCTTGGGGCGACACCTGGTAAGGGGCGGTGGGGGAGCGCGGCGCAGCATTCCGTGGGGGGGGGCGCTCCGGCGGCGTGGCGCTGGGGGGGTGGGCTCCGGT